CCAATATTACGAAATCAACAGGTTTAACACATTGACGACAGCGTGATACACATTTAATGCGCGCGTTGTGGGCCACGTGGGACCGCGCGAATTGTATACTGAATCACGATGAACAAATCCATATCTTTCCCTAGTGTTAGATTTTTTGTTTAGTTTCTCCTATTCATTCTATAGGCCAGTCCTTAGTATACTTGTACAACACGTCGTCCATGGAATAATGTAGAACACACAAGTTTAGCAAAGATTTCCTGTGGAAAGAGCACTATAAGCTTGAGTTGGTTTGCTCCTCAACTTTGGATTGGTTTGCTGTTTAACTCTTTGCCAAATATAGACAATTACAACATTGATAATTATGAAAAATATAAGATGACGTATTCTGAATCATATAGGGAGCACGACTTTTTTATGAAAAAAATTGGTTACAGACAAATTCCTGGCCCTGGTGCAAAGAGAGTTGGCCAGCCCAGATTTTTCCATGGTAAATAATTGACTTACCTCACAATTGATCTCTAAACCAGGTTTTACGATCCAATCTCCAAAAAAGCGCTTTGTGGGACGGTCTGAACTGTATGAGTACCGCGCTTGTGGCGTTCAAGAAAGCGCGCGTGTCCCACGCGGCCAAAAAGTAAAAACGCGCGTTGTCGTCAACGTGTTAAGGATACATAAACGGTTTTTAATTGCTCTTAGTTCGTAGTATAATGTAACAGTTTCATTTACACCGTATGCAAACACAGTCATATAACTACACTATTTTGCGCAGATCTTATTCACTTTCAATATCATTCTGTAGGGAGAACAATTTTGTCCAAAGCTTCATGCTTTGGAGACCAAACCAGTTCGATACCAATTTTGATGAAGTAAACTATACTTCAATAGCGAGGCCACGTTCAATTGGAGACGTGTGCGTGAGCATTTTTACCGGTACTTCATAGATTATCTGCTGTTCTGCTCCTCTCAATCCAATTTTAGCAGAATCTTCGCGGGTTTCAGTGATGAAGTGGATAGTCTTTTCTTCGCTTCCTCGTTAATCGGATTCCCCGACAGTTTCAGCTGAACTAAAGAAGGACAGCAGCTGTACAAGCGATCGGCATCAACATCTGAAATAAGGTTATGCTCAACATATAAAGCCA